GGAAGTAGATCAATGATTGTCTGGAGCTGTATGTGGGAAGGGGAGAACGACTACAAATGAACAAGGAATCTTTCAGATTTTCAGATGAAAATGTTTTAAAAAATCAGATTGTAATAATGGTTGCCCAACTTTGAATATTTACTAAAAACTTAAGCATAAAAATTTGTACACTTAAAATGCATGAATTGTAACGTGAATTACAGCTTAATAAGGCTTTTTAAAGATAATGGTAACTTTGGACAACTAAAAACTGAAAAAATAGAGAAAATTTTCAAACAAATACCAAGAGAATTTGTGAGTAATTGAATCATAAAAAATGAAATAGTAGAGAAAGTTGTTCAATAGGAAAAAATATATATATTCTAGATGGAAGCTCAGAGTTCCAGAAAGTATTGATGAGCAATAAAATATGTAAATAAGTGAGCAAATATTACTCTGTAAAGTACTAATAATAATATCTCTTGAGATTTAAAATATAGAGAAAGAATGAAAATATAAAAAATAATAACATTTAAAGAATAAGCAGGTACATGAAATAAAATGATCTAATCTCCTTTCATTATCTAGAAAGATGTCAAAATTATTAATTTTCTGGATTTTAATAAGTCAGGGATACCTGTTGTATTCTCTAGTGGATTAATAGTTTAAAAACACAAAGTAAATAAGGAAGAAGTTGGGGGAGGAAACTAGTTACCCAATGTAAGGGGAAAAAAGAAGAGAAAAAACAATATACAGAAAAGAAATGGATCAAAGGTGGAATAGTAAACAATTAGTAATATAATATATTTAGGTCAATTATAAAAGTAAGTACATTAAATGTAATTTGACTAATCCAATTCAAAACAAGATTGTCAAACTGGATAAATAAAAATAACAACAGTCATTAGAAGCTTAAAAGAAAAATATCTTAAATATAAGGATATTAAAAAGTTGACAATAAAATGATAGGGGAAGATATTCCCTGTAAACACTAACCAGAACAATGTTAATGTGATTGCATTAATACAAGGCAATGTAGATTTTTATCAAAAACTATGCTACAGATAAAGATAGTCATTTCAAAAATCATAAATATAATCTCAAGTTATACATAGAAAAAGGTTGAAAAACAAAGAGGAAAAATGGACAAATCTACCATCACAGTGAGAAATTTTAACTCATTTATATCAGTAACAAGCACATAAGAAATCCATAATCTGAATGATTTGAACAATACAATATACTTGATGTCATACACACACACACACACACACATATAAACAATACAGTCAACAATGGAGAATTCATATTATTTTGAAGAGTACATATATTTACTACAATAAACTATATGCTGGAACAGAAACCATACCCCAGAAAATGCAAAGGACTGAAATATTTAGAACATGTCCCCTCACTACAGTGGAATTAAGATACAAATCAATTCATTTTTTAAATAATTTGAGAGGTCTCCAAATATTTGAAAAAACAATAATTCAGAGAAGACATCACAATGAGGATTTGGAAAATTATTGAGTTGATTGATAATAAAATGATGAAATATCGAAATGTGTGGACTAGAGCTAGAGCTTTGCTTGATTTTGTAATCTTAAAACATATTATATCCAAATGTGAGTGACCAATATGGCAGCATTGAGGATGAGAAAGACACAGAGAGGTACATGGGAAGTACAAACAACAAATATGAACCCTTTTGCATATACACTACTGAGTTTTAGTGAAGGCAAACATGGGTATATGGAGGGATAGATGGGTGGACAGCTTAAACGATTAGGTATGTCTATGAAATGGG